ATATATATATATATATATATATATATATATATATCCTTAACTCTAAAAATATGATCATAATTAATTTATATTTAAGTCATTACTTATTAACTATTAATTTTTTTATATAATGAAATATATTCTAGATTAATTATACCATGAAATAATAAATATTAAATAAGCAACCAAAATACAAGGAGAAAAATTAAACAAAATAAATACAACACCAATAAATAATGGAGAAGATGCAAGCGGCGCTGCAAGCCACTTTTTCTCTCGTCAATCTCATCACCGCCGTCCGTCCGTCCCTGCCTCCGACCCTCTCTTGTGCTATAAGATTAGTGCTCCAACCAGCGTCGCTCGATGTGCTTGATTTGCTCCCCCCCGCCCTCTATTTATTACCGGTTTTTTACCGTTTCCGGCGCCTACTCTTCCTCGTCCCCTCTTCCTTAAACAATCAATACAAAACCCTCCTAAAAATAAATAATACGAACAAAAACCAAACACATCATCTCCCGCTTCCGCTCCGCTCCTCTCCTTTCCCTTCCTCGCTCCTCGGAGGCGCCCCCTTTTTAGCCCTCGGCGATTCGGAGACCCCCGAGCCCCTCCGGTCTGCACTGTAACTGCCTCATCGACCTCCTCCTCCTCTCCGCCGCCTGGGAGCTCTGAGGCCCGTCGAAGGCAGGCCGTCGGATCAGGGGCGGGTGGATGGACGGAGGGCGTTGAGGCTCTCTTTCTCTCTCCACCCCCAGGGGAAAGGAGGGAGCCGGAGGGCGTCATGGGTAACTGCCTTTGCTTCGAAGACCGCTCTAGCCGTAATTCGTCAGTATCAGGTGATCTAGTCCTCGTTCTCTCATTTACCCACACGGAACGAGGCGACAAAAGCACTCTCTTTCTTTCTATTCTATCATCTGGAATTGGCATTACGGATTAGGTTATGTGTGCAAATTGTCTAGGTTGATTCGTGATATGATACGTTCATATGCTATATATTGGTATGCTAAGACAGTAGCAAGCTCTCGTAAGAGCTGGTGATTGAACATCCACGATATTCTGAGCATAAACAATTAAACAGATTCGAATTTGATTCCAAGCCAAACTTAAATTTAATTGGGTTCTGTTAGTATCGGTCCCTATTGATTATATATATCAACATAACTGGGACTGTGCTTGTGATTTATGTCAATGTAGTGGATATGTCTTGCAGTCAGAGAGTTCTTTCGTGCCCTTTGTTTGCTTCGTAGTCTTAATTATTGAGGACCACATTGGTAAGAAGATATTATTATAGCATGAAAAGTTTCGTATACTTGAAATTAGTAATTATAACCTTGGGGTAGATATAACATTGTTTTTGGTTTCTATTTCTGGTAGTTAAGTGATAAGTGCCTTTTATATATCTAAGAAACAAACATTAAATTTTTTTCTATGAATAGCTGATGCGTTTAGGCTTTGATGATGGATATTAACTGAAAATTTTTAATTCAAGCTTGAATGAGGCTCATGCAAAGTATAAGAGAAGCTTCACTTTCACTTTGGAAGCCTCTACATAGGGGCTTGAGTTCAACTTGTGCTGGGATCAGGCTCGATTTATCTTTGATCAATAATATAACAAGCCAAGGTCAATCATTTTTAGGCTTGAAATTAATTTTCGGTCAAAATTAACCATGTGTAGAGTCAATCAAGCTTGGAACAGTTAGACCCCTCTCTCTCAAAAATAACTTTCTGCAGAGAGATCAACATTGTGCAGCATCTCAAGGGCTGGAAGAAAAATTATGTATTGATGGAAACTGAAATAGTGTTGAAACGTTACTAGTAGCATCTGACGTTTAAAAGTAGTTAGTTAATTGGGACAATGATCTAAATGCAAGGAAGCTACAGGAATCATTGCAGGCGACTTGTCTCTCTAATGCTATCAGTGGGTAGAAACACACCCAAAAGAGCCTGGTTTCTGTGTTTGTGCCCTTAAGCTCTCCTCTCAAATTATTTTCTATGGTGTGGCAAGCTACATGGATTTTTGCAAATATGTTAAGGAACTTTTCAGTTCAGACCATCATTTCGGTGCATAAAATCATGGTTTTTAACTTTTGAATAGTTTTCTGCATTATACTTTGATTTGGTGTAACTAGTAGTTGGCTATGCAATAGGAAAGATTAGCTTCAATCTATTGTGAGCTACTTTGAGTCATACACATCTAGTTTTGGTGTATTTAAATGTTGGATTTTGTAAGGCTGTTTGGTTGAGCAGACATACCACTGGTAAAATCTTCTTTTCTCATAGCCTTCGTGTTGGACACTCAAGACCTACAGGGACAGAGCTCCTATTGCACTAATTGCTGTTCTTCATGCATTAGCGGGAGAAGGTTCATATGACGAAAGAGTTCCCTGTGTTGGTACATAAAACTTAGTGCTGCTGTCTCAACTTCCATGTTTCAAATTGTATGTAATTTGGTGAATTATTAACCATACAATCTGGAAAGTTATGTAGACTTCAGTTAAATTCTGGGGTTGTCAATTGAAAAGAAATTAATTTGACACGAACTTTATGAAAGATTTTGTATTCTACAACCATTGTTCCATGTCCAAGCCAAGGCAAGCTTAGACAAGAAAGGGACCTTTAGGAACACAAAAAACTAATTGGTGGCTGGAAACATCTGTCCTATTGTTTGTACTTTGCAGTACAAACATATATGCACCATAGAGCAATTGCCGTAAAATTCACCTAGAGTTTTTGACGATTACACAGTGTGTGAGGGTTACCCTACTCCAAGCATTAATTGTAGATTTCTGCTTTGCAAAAAGAGAAGTTAAAAAACATCACTTTAATCTTTAGTTACTTTCTGAATAATTGTACAGTACAGATTATTGTTCAGCATTTGATGAGCAAGAACAGTATCTCTGGACAAAAAAGTAACTTTTCTAAGTAAATGTGTAAACAGGATGTTTTACTGTGAGGTTATACCTTTGTAGATTACTGAGTTATATTGTGATCACCATGAAATTTTGGCTGTTAAAAATGCTCTCTGGTTTTTTTGTCAGAAGATGAATGTTCTATTGCAAGTACTTGTAACTGTGCATGCTAATAATTATCATTGAATCTTCCTCAGTTCCAATTGGTAATGCTTCTTTAGCATCATCTCCTACCCAAGAACATCAAGTTGCAAAAATGACCAGCAATGTCGTGACTTTGCCAGTGACAATCAAAGATGTGGAAGATTTCCGACAGATGCCTGGCTATGGCAATGTCCAAATATTTACATATGATGAATTGAGGCTGGCTACCAATAATTTCCGTGCAGATCTAATACTTGGTGAGGGCGGGTTTGGCCTTGTCTATAAAGGTGTCATAGATGCTAATATCCGACCAGGTTTCAAGTGCACTCAAGTTGCTGTTAAAAAGCTTAATCCAGAAGGACTCCAAGGAGACAAGGAATGGCTGGTAAATATCATTCCTGTTACTTCCCATGAACATTGGTTCCTTTTACTTTCATATCATGTCTGTTTTCCCAAAAGTGATCATTGATAATTAATCCTCAAATTATCTCTATACTTGAGCATTCAAAAAGTTTGAGCATAGTCTCTACATCTCAGTTACCATAGAGAAAATTGAGCATGTTATGCTACTACTCAATTGCCGACAGGGATCCTCAAAGTATTATTTCTTTTACTTCTCATAAATAGCTGGTAATTGTTTTCTCTATACTCTAGTTCTGAACTAAAGAGAGAAATTAATTATAATATAGACTTGAATCTTTCAATTACTCTCTCGCTCTCTCTCTCTCACTTTCTCATTCACACACACACACACACACACATACATTTATATATGTATGCACACAGTAAACCATGTTGTAAAATGCTTTAAATCAATGCAAGTCAGAATTTTAATTGTTTTGGATTTTTTTTATGGTTTTTATCGTCTATTCAGAAGCTTCACAGTTCATTGGCTTCTTCCTTCTTTGTCAGGCAGAAGTCAACTATCTTGGCCTCTTTAGTCATCCAAACCTAGTCAAGCTTATTGGCTACTGCTGCGAGGATGAACATCGGTTATTGGTTTATGAGTACATGGCCAATGGGAGCTTAGAAAATCACCTCTTCATAAGTATGATGATGAACATACATGCTCTAAGACATCATTTCCGCTGTTAAGTTGATTTCTTTATCTGATAGTAATTACTGTTTATTTTTTAATAAATCAGAAGATGACATGCTTTTGGTATCAGCAAATTATTTGGCAGCGAAACATTGATATGAATTAGCTGAAGGATGTACTACATAGTGACATGATTAAAATTGAGATCAATTGGTTTTTGCTCAAAAAGTATGTTATTCTAAATGAAGCATACCAAGGAAAATATATTGTGATCATTATCATAACTTCACAAGTTAGTTAATGGTCATTATTCCCAACACATTATAATACAGTAATTGAATGCATCTATTTTCCAGTAACTTCTTTTAAGTACATCTTCTAGTGCATTTGTCAGATAATAGTTTTTGCTTCAATGAATCAGATGTTTTATTCATAGATGCAGCATGATTTGGTGTCTCAAAGTTGGTTAAGATTTTAAAGACAGACAAATGATTAGCAAAAGATAACTTCTGATGTAATTGTTATGATTAATTGTTGCATTATCTTAAACCTTGCCATGGTTGACTAGTGCAATTGTTGCATTATCTTATTGTTACGATTAATTGTTGCATTATCTTTACGTTCAGAGGGTTGCAGTACCTTGCCATGGTTGACTCGGATGAAGATAGCTCTGGATGTTGCCAATGGGCTTGCCTTTCTTCATGGAGCTGAAAGACCCCTCATCTATCGTGATTTCAAGACATCAAACATCTTGCTTGATGTGGTTTGTCTTCTTTCATCACCTCTTGAACATGTCGCTATGTTTACAGATTTTGTTGTTGACAAGAGTCACAAAAAGAAGACTTCATGTTGGAAGTCTTGTTATGAATCCAACATCAACCAACACAATAACAAATCCTAGTATTTTAACTATTTAGAATGGCTATATGAATCATTGAGCTTTGTGAACTCTTCTTATGTCTCCCTCTATCTTGCCTCACATCAGTAAATATTAATTGTTTCATCTCTTGTAATTCGTTAGAATATGTGATACATCACACTTTGAGATATCCAAATGATTCTCATGTCACTTTAAATGTAAATATATGTACTCATGTCACTAACACTCGGATGTCTCTTTAAAAAGATACTCAAATAATACTTCTGTTGGAAATGTGTAAAAAAGTATTATAGCCTCTTCCATTTAATACAGAGTCATCTAACCAGTGAGAAATTAGTATTCTGTTTAATTAAATATAACTGACATTTAGCTTGAACAATGATTGTGGATTTTAAGATTATCTGAAAATATTTTCATAATGCAGGGGTGTAATGGGAAGCTGTCAGACTTTGGGCTAGCAAAGGAGGGGCCTATGGGAGAGCAAACACATGTTTCCACAAGGGTCATGGGTACTTATGGCTATGCAGCTCCCGAGTACATATTGACTGGTAAACTATAGATGTTTCAACAGATGCATGCTCTTTACAGGTTCTGAATAAGGATATCCTTGTTTCATGTAGGGAAATCTATCGAAGCTGCTAATGGAAACATCATTTGTTTCATGCCTTGGTTTTGTATAGATTAGAATCTCTCCTGACAGCTTAAAGATTACTGAACCAATCAAAATCATTCTCCTGATATCAGATTGTTTAAATCCTACATTTGTCTTTTTTAGTCCATCCAGTGTTTTAAGTAGTATTTGTACCATATTGATCCTTTCCTCCTTCCCTTTTAATTTTTTGTTATTTAGTTAATATTTAAATAGCTTAAACTTTCGGGAGTAGTGGCAGCCAATCCAAATTTTTATCATCTACTTTTCCCTTTCTTCTACTATTTCTTATCTTGTAGTGAGTACTGTGGTGTCCTTGATCTCATATATAAGATGGTTACGAAATGAAAGTTCCTGAGTTTAAATCTTATCTAAAGCATGTTTATAAATTTAATTATATATATAATCTACTGGTTTAGTATTTTTAGATGCTTAGATCCAATGACATTGAATTATATATATAATCTACTGATTTAGTGAAACATGTCTTTAGCTTGGGGGGTGGTGGAGAGGGAGGGGAGAGAGAGAGTGTGTGTGTGTGTTTTGTGTGCTAATGTCAACTCTCAGTGAGTTGTGTTGATTTCGTGTAGTGTGGCTTCCGCAGGGCATCTGACGGCGAGAAGCGATGTGTATGGGTTCGGGGTGGTGCTGCTGGAGCTCCTGCTGGGGCGCAGGGCGTTCGACCAGAGCAGGCCGGGCCGCGAGCACAACCTCGTGGAGTGGGCTCGCCCGCTGCTCGTCCGCCCCAAAAAGCTCCTCCGCATCATCGACCCCAGAATGGACGGGCAGTACTCCGAGGAGAAGGCGGAGAGGGTGGCCCGCTTGGCCTCCGACTGCCTCAGCGAGAACCCCAAGGCGAGGCCTTCCATGAGCGAGGCGGTCAACGTCCTCCGCGACGTCCTCAGAGCCGACGACGTCAGCCTCCCCCTCCCCACCCCAGAAGCCGCCGCAGGGATGACGACGACGACGACGACGCCGAGAACGACGCGGTTTGAAAGATGAGAAGGATGATGAAGCCGTCTCAACAGGAAACAAGTGATGGTGACAAGCTCGCTCCCCACTTCCCCATTCTCCCAGTGGTCTGGCGGGCTGGCGATTTGACTCATTCCTTAAATATCCATCACCGTGTCGAGAAATCTGACCATCGATCTTAGTTCTCCCATAGATATCATCACTATCCTATTCGACCATTGGAATGCCACCTATCCTACATCCGAACCGAATTATTCCTAGTTGTAGAATTTCTTGGGCGAAATAGAGGTTTAAAAATATAATTAAGTAAAATCAATTACACTAATGGGTGAATGATTATTTTCGTATGAATGGAAACGATAGAACTATTAAATGATTTTTGGATCAGTGAGTCAAATGGTCAAACCGTAAAATTAAATATAATTATACATTGTGTTAAAAATATGAAACATATGGATCAAATTATAAGAATGATTTGTATAGCATAGTGAAATAGGTTGGATGATAAGGATGAGACAGCAACTAATATAATAGGAGGATATTATTCTCTTTCATCCTTATACTAAAAAACTTTAATATCCTTTAAAAAAATACAAAATATCTTTGGTAATAAATAAATAATTTAAGATATTTCAGTTTTCTTAAATTTCAAGCAGTCCGATTTGTAATTATCATTGTTTTTACAAATCGACCGGTGGAGTCGATCCGATCAGATCGTTATAACTATGATTGAAATTTTTAGCTGGATTAATTATATTAATTCTAGTTAAGATGGGTTTACTGTGGAAGATCAATTGTGATACCGTCCTTTTATTTATATATTTAATATAGTAATGGTTGCTGTTGTTATATATTGTGGTGAATTCTAAAAAAAAATCTAAGTTTGAATTTTCATTTTTAAGAATGCTTCAACTTTTTTGCCTTTGTCGGAACAATTGTCCCCTCCTCTATTACCCTTGCATCTTTATTGGACCCCAACGGCGTTACCCTAGTTGGCGAACTTAATTATAGGCACAAACAACCGGAGGAGGGAAAGCGGGCAACCAATGAGGTTTATGTGTGTGTGTGAAGGGAGGCAACCGACAAAACTAACTCACACGTAAAGATACAAAACTTCCAAAAGAGAAAGAGGTTGATCAACAAGACCAACCCATATATAGAGGCGCAAGCCAACCCACACGAGAAGGTACAAACAACTAGAGGAGGAGAGGGGGGTGATCGATGAGGCTAGCTCGAGCATAAAGGTGTATGTGACCAAAAGAAAATGGTCGATGAGATGGAGGGCAACAACCAATGGATGAAGGGTGATGGTCGACAAGAATACAAGTGATATATGAGAACTTTTTAAAGTTGGAGCATTTTGTAAAAAAAATTTAAACTTAAATTTTTTTAAGAATTCGCTCGTATTGTTATTATTAAGAATATTATCATTATTATTATAAACTGCGATTATTAGAAAGCAAGTTATATTGGGCTGCTATATGGGTCGCCTCATTTGTAAGTTCCAGCCCAATAAAGCTGCACATCACGTGGCAGTTTGTAGTCGTGCCAACCGTGGTTGCCGAGAAGTACCACGAGATGCATACATGGCTTCCCCTCCACCTTACCACGTTTTGCTGTCTCGGTGCCAAACCAGCACTTGTCACTCTCTGAGACCTCATCCTGCGACTCTCCCACAGCGCAGGATAAAATGTTAAGTCATTTCGCTCACCCCTCCTCGCGGATGCGCAAGAAAGACGAACCGGAAAGCATGGGCCAAGGTGAGGAGGTGAAGACGAGGCCTGAGCCGAAGGTGGAGATTCAGGTCAGCCAACTCACTCATCCTACATCTGTCCTCCTCATGTTTACATACATGTACTGTAACACTCTGATGGAAACAGGAGAGAGGCGAGGTTTTCTTCTTCTACCGGCCGAGGGTCGACAAGGAAGAAGCTTACAGTGCCAGCGATGTGCAGCGGATGTACGTCGTGCTCCGGCCGGAGTCAGGCGAGCGCTCCGTGGAGGGAAAGCAGTCGCCGGACTCGGGCAAGGAAAGCAAGATGAACTCCAAGGATGATGAGCAGAAGAAGAAAGAAAGCAAGGTGGGTTCTGAGGACGGCGAGAACGACAAGGGTGGCGATGGTCAGGATGGGAAGGAAGGCGGCTATGGCCGGGAGGTACGTACTGTAGCTGTTCTACCACATCTGTGGTAGTGGACAGTGAGGTTTCTTTGAACTAATGTTTCATGTGACAAGTGAAGGAGGTGAACATCGAAGAGCAGCCGCTGTTTCGCTTCATCGTCATGGGGAAGAAGAGCTTACCTGATCCAAGTCAGAGAAGCCGTCCTTTCTGGGGTTTCGTGGAACTGGTGACGACGAAGGTGGACGACATCAAGAAAGCTCTCCAAGGAGGTACGAGATCGACGTGTAACTTCAACACCGATGAATCATACGGACTTGTGTCTTGTAGAATTGCAGAGAAATGAACGTAGAAATAGCCTGACGTAGAACTGGTGATTAGCATTCTCGCTCTTCATGTGATGCAGAGGAGTACGAGACAGCAACTCGTGGCCACCGTCGCAGGCCTTCGGCGAGAGCGCTGGCGGAGGGCGTCTACCGCATACTGCGGCACCAATCAGGCCGGCGGACGCACACCCACCTCGTCTACAAGCTCGAGTTTCCGCCGGGCGATGCCGAGAACGAGCCGCAGGAGTCGCTGAACATGGAGCGCGAGGCCTCCTTCCTCATCCAAATCAAGAACCCCGAACAAGGCGGTGGTGGCGGCTTCGCAGGACTGCAGAGCAAGCGCAGGGCATGCTTCCCCGCCCACCTGCAGGGCCAGTTCGGGAAGCGGCGTTTCGGCCCCGCGGACCCGCCGGACTTCCTCAACTACGAGGGCTGCGAGCTGCTGCTGATCGCTGCGTCGGACGACATCGACGAGGAGCTGGGATTGGAGCTGAGGACGGAGTGCGAGGCGGATGCCAAGTGCTCGGACCTGCTGCAGGTGTTCGGCGAGACGGCCGCCTCCAAACCTCTGCTAAGCGGCGCCTGGGTCTGAGTTGCGGTCGCCACTTGGTGCGTCTTGCAGGTCATTTTGTGGTGGCTTTGTCCCCAAGCCGGTCTGCGGGAGCTCACAAAGACTTGGGGATGTGTTTTGCATGTGTGCCTGTAGCCAATAAGTGTCTTCCCTTTCTTCTTGGATGTAAGCTTTTGTAACTCGATAGGGTAGTATGATGACAGTAACTATGCATTACTTGGATGTAAGATTTTGTCTTTCTCGGTGATTCTTCAACTGATTTGCTTAGTAATTGTTTGTCTTCTTCCTTTCAATCCTAAAGATAATAATTTCATCTTTCTCGTTGATCTACCATAGCATCGGAGGTTTCTCTCTGCGGCATTACATTACGAGAGATTTCTCTATCTAGCGAGCGGCATTCTACTCGAATTGTCGTTTGCACTTTTGTGTTCCTTGCACCGAAGACAGACATACAATTCTTCTATGCGATCTCCCATTCGTGCTCTGTTGTTCTATAATAGATTTCTTTAACCTTGCAAATTTGATATGCCTCCCTCATACTGATCACCGATCAAATCTGCCTCCTCCAATGATTGTGTCTGATCTGATCTACTCTAACCCAACCATCTAATGGTACTTTGCCTCCTGTTGGCAGACGGTGACAACTTCAATCTAGTGCGGCATCCAACATCTACATCTTCTTCCTCTTATTTATATGCTCCGTTGATTATTCATTCTGGAAATAATAGTTTCTCTCACTCAATCTTCGTTAATGCAATAATTTTGATCCACTTTTAAATTTAAGCTCTCCAAAGATGCATATTAAATATGCATCTTCCAATTGTCTATTGGATATAATCTATTGGGCTGACTCGTCCAATTGTCTATTAAAAAATATTCAAATACCAAGATAACTAATTTTAATGATAAATTCTAATTATAGATTATAGTTACATCATCAAGATCATCGTATTGTATAAGTCATTCAAACCTTAGTTATTAGATCCAAAGCACCACTAATCTCTTTACACAACACCATAGCAAAAATATAATACTAAGTTAGAAGCCGCCTTCGGTCTAGCACTCGCATACCAAATCTTTTATTTATCTTAATGAAAACAACACAGGAAAAAAATATTATTGTTAATTATATTTAAAATATAACCGTTATTATAGATGACTCGACCTTAATAGATTATCCCCGAAGTCATTATTCATACTCTTAATGACTTAAGAGATGAATATGAGAAAATGACAACAACAACAACTTGAGCAACTTGAGCACGTGACTCATTTTGTAAAACTTTATGTCAGGTATCTGAAATAAGAAGAGGAGAAGATGAGACCAACTTAATTGAATCAAAAATCCAAAGCAACAATAACTTCAATAATGAACCAAATAATATGTCTCCACATGTATAACACACATAACCATCATTCTTTATTATACTATTAACTTTTCAACTATTATAACAACTACAACCCAAACAACTTAGGAAATAATTTTAAACTATAATAATCACTAAACTATTAGCAGCTTCGGCGTCACAACAATAATAATCGGTAAAAAATCATCTATCAACTTTATGACAAAATTAAATACATAGCAAAAGTTTATCGATCTCGACCTAAATCTACTGTCATACCCAATTGGTCTTAAGCAAATATCATAACTACTTAGATTATTCATTTGAGTAATTGGATTATCACTACGGTCACAAAATCTTCCATTGAAGCTGAAAATCAACTCGAACCATCGTTATCACTGTTGTAGAACTCAACTAGATCACCAATCTTTTATATAAACCTGATATACTTCCCAATCGACTCCAATAATATACTATGATAATATTGATACCACCTACTTATGCTCAAACCCAATGTTCCATTCTTGCATTAAACACATTGTCATCGATTTCTACTTTATTAAAAATCAAGTTGTCAGACATCAACTATGTGTTTATCACATTCATATTTCTAACCAACTAGCTAACTCCTCACAAAGCCTCTTCCTCATAATATATTTTTATTACATCATTTTAATATTGACATCCTTGACGGAAGCTCAATCTTATGAGGGCATGATAAAGGATCATAATATAGAGAAATATTGAATGATAACTTTGTATTCCTTATATATTTTAATTCTCAGTCAATCTATAATTTGATAATCAATTATCATGATATATATTCATGAACGCATGATTGAAAAAATATCTTCTTTAAATCTATATAAAAAAATACATTACCTTAATTACCTTAATGAAATAACCAAGCTTTCATGGTAATTCTTCACTCAGAACCAAGAAGTCTAATCAGTCTCATAGATTGGAACTTGCAATGCTTGATCTGCATCTTTCCTGGTTGCTATGGCTGGATGCACCATAGAGAACCCCAATGCTCCATCTTCTATACTCTGAACCTGAGAGAACGCAGTCATTTGTGTACTGTCGTCATAGACCAACTCGAAGGTACCTGTTGAAATGGGGAGCTTCCCAGGTCAGCAGGGGTCTCACTGCAGGAGGAAGAAGTATGAAAGGTCAAATAAAGATTGAATCCGACAGTAAAAGAATCTATAGAGTTAAGAACAGGATACACTCGGAAGATGACAGAAATATCAACATGCTTTGCTCAGGACATCACCACTTTGTTTCTTCCTCATCACACCAAGTCTTCAACCCATGCAGAGGCCTAACACCATCACACTGCTGCCACTGTGAATCTGCTAATGAAAAGCCATTAAATCACTGTTGATGTAATAGAATATCTTTTGTACATATTACTATGCTACAAAATAAATCAATACAAATGGATGATATTGCGATAGAAGTACTAACTATTTCCACTCAAATATCTAAGCTGCACATACTCCACAATCTAAAGAACCCACAACATGAGTTGAATCAGCTCAGCAAATGAACTTAAAGCTGAAACTGAGTCAAAATTTCAAAAGCTAAAGAATCCATTAAATGATAATGTTACATAATTTTCTACTAATGAATTCTCCCTTTTCAGATGTCCTGATTTTACAAAATTACACAAGCTGAAGGAATATTCTTATTTTACTATGAGAAACCTGAGACTAGGACATTCTACCCTTCCTAGAGTTATTTCAGCAGATCTACCTGTAGTTGCACAAGGTGGTAGCTGACTAGTAAGAAGAAGAAAGAGTGGTAAAAGAATCAAGCAGACCATCAATTTACCATGAAGCCTAAAAGGAAGATGCTGACTCCCCCGTGATTGCTGCCTTTCAACTCTAGCCTTTTTCACTTTTGAGGGCAAATCATATGGACAGCAACAGCAATTGCTTTTGTGATGCTACACTTGTTATGGTCTCTTCGACATCTTGAAACAAGTTGCCAGAAGGCCAAGCAACCATCAAGCTTGGAGCCCTGGAGATACTTTTGCAAATCAAAGGAGAATGGTCAGAATTTTTGCAGATTGTACATAAACTAGAACTGACAAAAAATAAAAGAAAATTATCCAGAACTAAAAGAAGTCATTTATTTATCATAATCGCCACGAGCAGATACTTTCCACAATTCTGTGAGATATTTATTATTCGATATAACTTGTGACAAAGAAACAGCATCAACAGAAGAAATTACACAAACTGTAAATTCGATGACAAAAAATATACAATTAAAGATGAGAATGCAAAACCAAGTGATGCACTGCTGAAGAAAGAAAATTATTTAGTTTACCATAATTATCCAAACTAGTGCATGAAATATGTGACAGTTTCCACATGGCAATGTTTGGTGCAATGTCTGATGAGAAATGAGCAGTAACAGCAGATTGCTACCGATCTATCTGTGCGAAATTGATAAGCCTTCAAACGCTAGGAAGAACAAAAATCAGCAGTCAAAAAATTCAAGTTTTTCTGGATATCACCGGCATCAATATCATCCCAAAGACCCTCAAAACCCTAAATAAAAGCCCTAAAGAGACGAGAGGAAGGGGAGGAGAAGGTTACTTGAGAGCTCGCATCTCGCTTCAGTCTCGATGTTTAGGATCTCATGGATGGATTTACCACTATACACTCCCTTGTTTTATTTTTTCCTTTCATCATTTAATTGGCATATCTATCATTACATTTCCCTGTAAAAGGAAAAGAAGACACATAACAACAATGCATAACGAACAACAATCAAACTCAAGCCGCGGGGGTGGTGGCATTGCAGGGGCCGGCGTCGCAGTGGCGGGAGAAGAGGTCGTGGAGCTCGTCGAAGCTGAGCTGCCCGAACGAGGCCTGGTTTCGGCGGAGCGCGTCCACGACCCACTGGAAGAAGTCCGAGTCGCAGGGGATGGCGAGGCCGCCGGCCTGCTCAAACCCGTACTCCACCTCCGCCCGCTTCAGTAGGTCCACGAAGACCGGCAATTTCAAGAACCGGGCCGGCACCACGAAGCGCTTCCCTTCCAGCCCGACGTACAGCGGCACGTACCCAGCGGGGACCGTCGCCACTTCCCCTGGTTGACAGGACAGCCGCTGCCGCCACTGCCGAATCACCTGCTTCAGCTGCACGATCTCTCGTATAGTCAACATTTTCGCTTAATGGCACCGCACGCTCGATTCAGCTTCGAAGTGGAAGGAGGAAGAAGGTGAGGAACTCGTCTGGGGGTTTGGGGGGTGGTTTTATAGGGCCGAAAGAGAGGGAGTTGTATTTGTTGTCTTGCAGAGCGTTCGAAGGCGAGAGGGAATCAAGAAAGGGAGAGATTCGCTTGAGGGGTATGCATCCACGCGGACCGACTGAATCACCCGGAGATCCATCAGGGTGATGTCCACAGTACAATCAAGCGGTCGGATATCACCCTGGGATCCGTCAGTATCGGGTCGGATTTACTTAAGACTCGAACCGACTCCGATAGATAAAAATTCCAGGGACCAAAGGTCATTGGTTATGGTTTGAGAATATACGATGAATCCAAATCCGAAAATTAATGGATATTTGGATTTATATTCGTGTTATTCGATTGAACTCGAGGCAGAGCGAATTGGATCGTCGAGGTGCAATGACACTTGTTTGCGTATATTTGGAAAAGAGCAGTGGTTATGGATTAAGAAACTATAATTGAACGCGGGTGGGTCATCCAGGTTCAGTGACACTGGTTTTGTATTTTTTTTTTTTTTTGAAGATTGGAAAAAATTCCATGCTAAAAGAGCAGTGTTTTAAATAGAACAAAAGACTCTAAAAAGAAGAACTGCTCAACACAAATAATGTAAAAAAATAAATATAAAGTATTGTTAATTGTTAATCTACTTTTTGAAAAATTCATGCTACGACCGTGGAGATTCTCATTCTCTATATGTGTATTAACGAGATGAAACACATTTGTTTGATCTATAGCTTTGAAGTTTAGGCTTTTTGAGTTAGTTATATTGAGGTTCGATCGTCATTATTTGTTAGTCTTCATTAATTCCATTATGACTTTAATTCCTTAAAAACAGTTTGTATTGAACAATATTTGATACAAATGAGTCAAAATTGATATAAATAAAATAAACCAAATAAACGAAGGATAAACTCAGGTTTAACTGAATTAAGATGATTCACATATGAACGAGAAGACGTTGCTGAGTAAACCACCTACAACAATATTCATGATGTATACAATAATTGAAAAAAATTAGCGAGACAATGACTAATGACCTGAAAAGTCTAAGCTATATATACACGACTAATTATATTAGCTCACGCAGTTAGTTATCCTTAGTATTTTGATCCTATATTTAAAAAAAATATATTTATATTCATATAGTTATAAAAATAAAACACTATTTACTATAACATCATCGGAACAAATAAAAACAAAGATAAAAAAAATAATTTTAATGTTCTAACTGATATTAGTGAACAACGTCGATGGTGACGAACGACGACACTATTGAGAGTTACAAGTGATATGAGAAGAGTGACAATGTGATGTGAGACTCACTCTACAACTACATCGATGCAATTATTGAGCGATATCACTCTGTATTTACGTCGACGTCGATGCAATTACGAAATGGTGTTGCTCTGCATCTGCATCAACATTATTGTCGAACGACGAAAGGGCTGTTTTAATAACTATCAATGCCAACACAGATACACAAAGCAACCCTTATCTTTCGTCGTTACTTCCATCATCCATAACAATCACCCGCAGCTCTTAACAATATCATCGTTCGTCAACACCAACTATAACATTAAAATTATCTTGTCTTTTGTTTTCGTAGTTCCGTTGATAAAATCGATAACGTTAGGATAAATGAATCTAAATGTTTTACTTTCGTGACTATAAAGATGTCAATAAAATTTTTTAACATAGAATATATATATATATATATATATATATATAT